ATTGTAAATATAACAACTCTCATATATGTATTCACCTAATTGCATTTATACTCATTTTCTTGACATATTCTTCATTTCTCATACGTAATTATTTATTATAATTTAAGTGATTGTAGTATGTACTACAAGAGGACTAAAAAGTTATCCATTTAGTTATCACTAAATTAAAGAAAAAATAATCAAAAGTGTAATTCATGAGAAGTTTAGAATTTTCATTTTGACAAATCTCAAGCAAATGTAATTTACTTAATAAAAAGAAAAAACATAGAATTACAATACACGAATTTTGACAACAAAATTAGAACTTATTTGGCTTACCCTTGCTAAAGATAAGCATTAATGGAAGGTATGTCTGTTTCACATGTAAGGTTCTCGCAATGCCGTTGGCAGCACCAGTTCAGACTCAACTTCGTTAAACGGATAGAAATAGTATTCAACCATGTCCTCTGATACATCTTTTAAACTAGGTGGGTCCCACTGCAAATTTGGTAATAAAATGGTTTAGATAAATCCCGAGAAAAGAAAAAAAAAATGGATGTTACTGAGTTCATAAATGTACAGACTCCTAGAACAAAATAGGTACCTTTGGTGCAAAGTCTTTATCAACCATTCGTGCCCGAACACCCTACATAAAGAAGTCAAGTGAAATCATAAAAACAAATTGAAGTTGTTCTTTAGGGAAAAGATACCAAGAAGATCATTACCTCAAAGAAATCAGAGGAGACATGCTTAGAAATTCCGCGATGGGATATACGGTACTCACGTACAAGACATTGATCAAGAGTTTCAAATCTACCTTCACGTATCTAAATTCAATAGCAGAGGTTAAAGCAGAAGAAAATAGCATCTTGAATGGGAAATAGATAAACATGCAAGGGAGATGCAACTCACAGATCGTAAAATAACTTTCAAACTCAATGGGGAGGCTTCTCTTATTTTCCTAAGAGTTGTCGAACACCATTCGTCATAAGAATCAGCTGCCTCCTCCTCCTAACAGAGTAACATTTCATTTTGAAAAAAAGGTAAACTATCAAAGAGTAGAGTAGTCAAGCACCAGATAGTGAAAAACACTAACAATATTGGTCACCTGTTTCTTCTAACTAAATCAGAAATGTTTAGTTCCCTACCTATTTTTGTAGAAAATCAGAATCCAAACATGTTTCCGTTTTTATTTCCTATTAATTAGGATTGATTATGATTGATTAGGATTTATTGTGATTGATTAGAATTGATTGTGATTAGGATCGCTTAGTCATTCTTAGCGATTTTTTCTTGTATAAATACTCACTCATGTAAATTATTCAATATCAATATACAGAAACTTCTCTTCAATATGGTATCAGAGCGGGTTCGTTCCTACCCTAATTCAAATCTGAAATAACCATCCAACACTTCCATCACCGTCAAACACCTCCTAAAACCTCCTTGAATCTGTCCAACACAGAAACCTAGTCTACTGACCTCCGATCAAGAAAGTGAGGTGACCATTCGACTCAGAAGGATCTGACGAGTCGACCGCCGCTGGACCCATCGCCGTCAACCGCCGCACGCAACGTCACACGCGCGGCCAGTTTCCGGCGCGACGCGCCGCCTTCACGTCACGCGCGACTTGCACAGACCTTCTCGCCGGCTGTTCCAGAGGTCAGCAAAAATTTACAAAACTTGATTTTTCATCAACGTCAACCCTTCTCTTTCTATTCATGGCTTCCTCAAAACACTCTTCCTCTTACTCTGATGGTGTCTTTCTTAGCAAGACTAAGTTTGAACAACTTCAGAGACTTTTGACTCAACCTCCTAAGGCCACTAGTCATGTGGTCCAGCAAGGTACAACTTTCCATATTGATAGTCAAAATCATTGGATCCTTGATTCTGGAGCCTCTGATCATATGACAGGTAACCTTGGCTTGTTTTGTTCATACACTCCATATTCTGAACCTTCTCGGGTCAAGATCGCCGATGGCAGTTTTTCCCAGATTGCGGGACACAGAACCATTAAACTTTCTGAGCTGATTACTTTGACATCAGTTCTTTATGTTCCTTCTCTGACCTGTAATCTCATTTCTATTAGCAAGCTCACCTTTGAGTTGCATTGCTTTGCTAAATTCTTTCCACATGGTTGTGTTTTTCAGGAACAGGACTCGGAGAGGATGATTGGCAGTGCTAGAGAGGATGGTGGACTTTACTACTTTGAGGAGGATGTGACTCATGAAGCTGTTTTCGTAGAAAAAACTCTATGTTTCCTTTTGATTCATGTAATGATGTTATGATGTGGCATCGTAGGCTAGGCCATCCAAATTTTATTTATCTTCAGAAGTTGTTGCCAAACTTATTTATTCATAAAAGTCCAAGTTTGTTTTCTTGTGATATTTGTCAACTTGCCAAGCATACTCGTGCTCATTATCCTTCTAAAGTTCACCATGACTCTTCCCCATTTTCCTTAATTCATAGTGACATATGGGGTCCAGCCCGTGTTTTTCAGGTACTCGATGGTTCATTACCTTCATTGATGACCATTCTCGAGTCTGTTGGGTGTATCTTCTAAAGGATAAGTCCGATGCTGCATCCGTGTTTAAAAAATTTCATGCCATGGTTCAAACCCAATTCCAAGTTGCTATACAAATTCTTCGTACAGATAATGGCAAAGAGTATTTTAACTCTATTCTTGGAGAATATCTTTCCCAACATGGCATCCTTCACCAAAGCTCGTGTCCTGACACACCCCAACAAAACGGAGTTGCATAAAGAAAAAACCGACATCTCCTTGAAGTTGCTCGGGCTCTTATGTTTACCACGAGTGTTCCTAAATATCTTTGGGGAGAGGCAGTTCTCACTGCCTCGTATCTGATAAATCGAATGCCATCTCGCATTCTGAAATTTCAGTCTCCTCTTTATAGTCTTGTTCGTATCTTCCCTTCCTTCCGAGGTGTCTCCTCCTTACCTCTCAAGTTATTTGGTTGCGTTGCATTTGTCCATATTCCCTCCCATCAACGGTCTAAGCTTGATCCTAAGTCTCTCCAGTGTGTCTTTATTGGTTATTCTCCTACTCAACGTGGATATAAATGTTATTCACCCTCTCTTCGTAAGGTCTTTGTCTCTATGGATGTCACTTTTTCTGAAAATGACCCTTTCTTCCCCTCGACTTCTCTTCAGGGGGAGATAGGAGTAGATGAAGATCAGTCATGGGAACCTACTGATGCCACGATATTACCTCTAATTTTGGAAACAGGGGGAGCTACAAAATCCTCACCATCAGGAGCCTCCTCAAAATGGGGACAAGTTTATAGCAGGCGAAAGACTCCTCAAAGTGTGAATAACCCAGAGCCTCTACACTGCCAGGATTCTGAACCATGTTCCAGTTCCAGCACCCATATACTTGAGTGTCATGGTGAAAATGATCTACACTTGCCCATTGCTCTCAGAAAAGGTACTCGATCTTGTACTACTCATCCTATTTCTAATCATATTTCATATGGAAAGTTGTCCCCAGGGTTTCGTGCTTTCAATACTATGTTGGATAGTACAAAGATACCGAGAAATATACATGAGGCTCTCAATGATCAAAAATGGAGGGATGCTGTCTTTGAAGAAATGAATGCTTTAAAAAGAAATGGAACTTGGGAGATAGTGACCCTACCCAAAGGAAAACAGGCAGTAGGATGCAAATGGGTGTTTACAATAAAATTCAATGCAGATAATAGCATCAACAGATACAAGGCAAGATTGGTTGCAAAGGGTTTCACTCAGACTCATGGGATAGATTATCATGAGACTTTTGCTCCGGTTGCTAAAGTCAATACCATCCGAGTTCTCTTATCTCTTGCTGCCAATCTAGATTGGCCTCTGCAACAGTTAGATGTGAAGAATGCATTCCTAAATGGTGACTTACATGAAGAAGTCTATATGGATCCTCCACCTGGTTTTGAAAAGGGAAATGGATCAGTGTGTAAACTAAAAAAGTCTCTATATGGATTGAAACAGTCTCCCAGAGAATGGTTCGACAAATTCACACAAGCAGTCAAAAGAAGAGGCTTCATTCAAGCACAGACTGATCATACTCTCTTCCACAAACACTCTAAGAATGGTAAAATTGTTATTCTTATTGTATACGTAGATGATATAATTCTTACAGGTGATGATATTGAGGAATTGGACACCTTGAAGAAATTTCTAGCAGCTCAATTTGAACTCAAAGACCTTGGCACTCTCAAATATTTCCTTGGTATGGAAGTTGCTAGGAGCAAAACAGGCATCACTCTAACACAAAAAAATATGTTCTAGATCTTTTGTTGGAAACAGGAATGTTAGGGTGTAAACCTACTGAGACACCTGTGGAACCTAATACCAAGTTAGGTATTGAAGATGGGAATGAGGTGGATAAAGAACAATATCAACGATTGGTTGGTAAACTAATCTACTTATCTCATACACGTCTTGACATTGCCTTTGCGGTGAGTATGATTAGTTAATTCATGCACTCACCCAAGGAGAAGCATCTTAGTGCAGTCTATAGGGTGCTTAGATACCTCAAGAATACTCCAGGAAGAGGATTATTCTTTAAAAAGGGGTATAAAAGGACAATTGAAATCTACACTGATGCAGATTGGGCAGGCTCATCAGTAGACAGGAGATCTACCTCAGGCTATTGCACCTATGTGTGGGGAAATCTTGTTACTTGGAGAAGCAAAAAGCAAACAGTGTGAAGCAGAATTTCGAGGTCTACAATAGTTTTGTTTCTTTGTTTGGTTGGCAGGGTCCCATTACACCTTCTAAAAAAATTGCATAAGCTTCCTTGATCAAAATGCCTAGTGTGAGTTAATTTTCACCACATACTAGTAGCTTTTAAGCATAGAATCTCATAATTGTAGTAGAATGGATCCATCCAAGCGGCCTTTTGGGTATGTTCCAGGGCCTGATCTTCAGGATATCCAACCATTGGTCTATGAAGTTGACAAGGAAATGAAGTCAAGTGGACCAACACCAAATCGTCATAAGAGACATAGAGACACGAGAGGTGGAAGGACTGATGCTATGGGTTATGCAAGTTCGTTGGAGCCTCGTAAGAGACCTAGAAGTGATAGATTCTTGGAGCCTCGTAAGAGACCTAGAAGTGATAGATTCTTGGAGCCTCGTCAGTTGGCTCAAAGTTCACAAAGGTCTGCGAATAGGTGGAGTAGGGTAAAGCTCGGTAGTTGACAGATGCTGTGTTATTAGCATCCAAGCCAGGGCACCTGCTTTTTTTCTTTCTTTTTTTTTTCTTATTGTATAAAAATTGCCAAAGTGGAGGATTCATGACAAAGTGACATATCAGCAAAATTCCCAAAGAATAGTTTTTCTTTAATATAGATATAGATAGATTGGTTTGCTTTGTGTTTTATCATTTTCTCTTGAGATTCTCCACGGAAATTTTGAAGTATTAATTGGAAAAATACCTAGTAAGCAGTCTTATGCATGCTAGAATAATGTTTACGATGCACAATGTAAAAGTTAAATAATAATAATAATAAAATAATGAAAAAAAACATTTCTGTTTTTATTGCAAAAAAAACTTTTCTGCCACCACTCACTCTTAAATAAGTGGTGATAGAGAAACTTTTTCCTCAGAAAAACAAAAACATTAAATCATAAAGAATAGGTATTTTTGAAATTATTATTATTACTATAGAATTTTTAATTCATTTTAAATTGTTATTTATTTTAGAAATTAAGAAGACATTTATTTTAAAGTTTATCTTTATCTCTTAATATTAAGTGAAATAAAAATAAAATAGTAATGAAGTATAAGAATAATTTAATCGAATATAATTACATTTCTCAAAAAATAAGTGTATTTGATGAATTTCGTAATATTTCTATAAAACCGAAACAATAATTTTAAAACTAATGATTTACTATTAATAAATTAGTCTTAGCTAGTACAAGTGTACAACAACCATAAGTCCATAACTCCATAACTATCTTCATCTCGTTTCGTATGACTCTTAGACATTACAATCTTATCTAATCACTCAATGAGAAATTTTCGGTGGTCTTGAAGGAAGAAAATCCTATTTTTGTTTTGTTTTTTGGTAGATAGAAAATCCTATTTTCACTATATAAATAAGTGAAAAGAAAAAATATCAGTTTCCTCGTATGTTTGGAGTTAAGCAATCATAAATGCAAGATACCAGGGAAAAGTAGTAGTTGGCTGGAGCATTCAGATTATCGTTGCAAAGTTGCTTTAACCTCGGCAACTCTACTGGAACATATAATGGATTTTGAATTGTCTCTTTCAAATCTATAAATTTACTTATTTTGCCATTCTTTCAGGTTACTCAACACCTCTGAGCACTGACATCAATACGAGTGGCGTAGCTACGTCCAAGCCAGCAAGTATCTTGGCATCTGCTTGTTTTTTTTTACTTATTATATAATTAATTATAATAAAAAGTAAAAATTATAATCTGGCACCATCTAAATAGAAAATCAAATACTCAATACAAAGTAACAACAAACCATCTAAATGCAAACAAATAATAAGGAACATGTATAGTATGTTTTTTTTTTTTTACCTTTTTTATTTGTTATCCAGTATACTTTTTTTCTAATTTATTCTAATCAGTTATGTTATTTATTCTTACTCCTATTATTTCAAAAAAATAAAAACTTCTAAACTTAATCACAAAATTGATTAGTTGACCCATGTCAAAATATGGGCCCAATTAAACCAAATAAACACATTTAAAAGTAGGAAAAAGGGTTTGTCCGTTTAAAGGACACAAGGTTGTATCCTTTTAGTTTTTGACACTATATCTTACATGTAAAACATAGTTAT